AAAAAAAAAAAAAAGTGTCAGCATTGACCCTTGGAGTCACAGCATTGAATGCCCTATGTCCTTCCTTCTTCCCCACTAGGACATCACCCCTCTGCAAGTGGTCCTACCCAATACTGCCCTCCATCTTAAGGCATTGCTGGATTTTGAGGATAAGAATGGAGACAAGGTGGTGGCAGGAGATGAGTGGCTGTTTGAAGGACCTGGTAAGTTCTTTCTCCATTGGGCCTGAGTCAGGGTCAGGGGTTTCCTGCCTTCCTACCACAGCCCTTATATTTCTAACCTTCTGTCTCCATTTCACCTTCCCTTTCTAGGCACGTATATCCCCCGGAAGGAGGTGGAGGTCGTGGAGATCATTCAGGCCACGATCATCAGACAGAATCAGGCCCTGCGACTAAGGGCCCGCAAAGAATGCTGGGACCGAGATGGCAAGGAGAGGGTGACAGGTACGGGCACCAAGGGCCATTGGTGGTAGGTGGACAGGAGGATCCTTAACTGCAGAGGAAATAGAGGAAGGGGCTGGGGGAGTCACTTGCAGCCAGAGGAGGTACTTTCATGGCCTCTCCCAAAAGCTGATGAAGGCCTCCCACTGCTTCCTCTCCCCGCTACTTTCACACTAGCACTCCCCAGGCCCTGACCCTGTGATCATAATCATTCTGACTGGCTCTTCCCTCCCCCACCTTCACCAAGAGCTGTGGGCAGTGACCAGGTCTTATCTGGTTCTGGCTCAACACAGCAGATGTTCAAATATAATTAACAAATATAGTGTTTATTCTGTGCTAGATATGGTTCAAAATGCTTTGTAAGACGGGTGTGGTGGCTCACACCTGTAATCCCAGCACTTTGGGAGGCTGAGATGGGAGAATAGCTTGAGCCCGGAGTTCAAGTCCGGCTTGGTCAACGTAGCAACATTCCAACTCTACAAAAAAATAAAAAATCAGCCAAATGAAAAATCAACTGCCAGTCCCAGCTACTAGGGATGCTGAGGCAAAAAGGATAATTTGAGCTCACGAGTTTGAGATTGAAATGAACTGTGATTATGCCACTGCATTGTAGCCCTGGTAATAGAGCAAGATCTGTATTTAAAAAAAAGAAAAACATGCTTTGCAAATGATACCTTATATCAGGCGTCCTCAAACTACGGCCTGTGGGCCTCATGCAGCCTGCCTATGACATTTATCCAGCCTGCCAGGTGTTTTTGCTATAGCTGCCTGTCCTGCTTAGCAGCCGACTCGCCCTGGGCCCCGCAGTCTGGCCCTCCAACAGTCTGAGGGACAGTGAACTGGCCCCCTGTTTAAAAAGTTTGAGGACCCCTGCCTTATGTAGTTCTCAAACAACTTTGAGGTATTATTACTCCTTTTTTTTTTTTTTTTGCAGTTTTTGGCCGGGGTCCGGTTTGAACCCACCACCTCTGGTATATGGGGCCAGTGCCCCACTCCTTAGAGGCACAGGCACCACCCCTTTTTTTTTTTTTAAGAGATAGAGTCTCATTTTGTCACCCTCAGTAGAGCGCTGTGGCCCACAACATCCAGCTATTTTTTGTTACAGTTTGACGGGGGCCAGGTTTGAACCTGTCACCCTCAGTATATGGGTCGGGCACTACCTGACCTCACTAAGCCACAGGCACTACCCTACTATTCCCATTTTTATATGACAAAACTGAGGCACAGAACTCTGGTTGCTCGCCCTGGGTGTGTGGCCATACAAGGCAGAGCTGAGACTCACACCCAGACACTCTGGATTTGTGAATAAACCAAAGGAAATCTACAACCGTAATAGGAACTTATGTCCACTTTAGGGAAAGGACAAAAATTGGTCTTTGGAGGTTAGAGAAGACATAGCAAGGTGTTGGCATAACAGCAACTTGAGCATCTTAGAAGGGATTTTTTATTCTCTTTATAAAGGGATTCATTTTCCTCTGGCTTCAGAGGAATGACTGAGTACAAGGAATTCTGTTGGGCCTTCAAGCTTGGGAGCAGTGGCATCTTTTCACTTAAAAAGTCCTGCTGGTCCCTGTTGTCTAAGCATGGGAAGGGGTGGTGGGAAGCAGGCTGGGTGACCTTGAACCCTTACCTCCCATTCTTGTCCTAGGAGAAGAATGGCTGGTCACCTCCGTGGGGGCATATCTCCCAGCAGTGTTTGAGGAGGTTCTGGATTTGGTGGATGCTGTGGTCCTTACAGAAAAGGTTTGTCCCCTGGGGGTATGGGCTATGGGACTTGGTGCTAGGAAACACTCCAGGTGCAGAGAATGACAGCGGATAACATGAGAGTAAAAGACAAATGGTGCTGCTGGCGTCACTAAAAAAGTTAATTCAGAGGTCAGATCACATCAGGAGTATTCCAATCATCTGAAAGCTCAGTAGCTTGGCACCGTAGATCAATAGCTCAGCAGTTAGAGCACTGGCCACATACACCAGGGCTAGCAGGTTCAAACCCGGCCCTGGGCCTGCTAAACAACAGTGACAACTACAATAAAACATAGTGGATGTTGTTGGCGGGTGCCTGTAGTCCCAGCTACTTGGGAGGCAGAGGCAAGAGAATTGCTTAAGCCCAAGAGTTTGAGGTTGCTGTGAGTCACAGCACTCTACCCAGGGCGACAAAGTGAGACCCTGTCTCAAAAAAATAAATAAATAAATAAAAAGTCCTCCTGGATCAATAGAAATTCAGACCTGGGAGCATTTAGTGGCAAAGGGGGTTCACAGATCCCCTGAAGAAGTTGGAGGTAGGTTCCTTAAACACCAAACACCTTTCTCTGCAGACAGCCCTGCACCTCCGTGCTCGGCAGAATTTCCGTGATGCGAGGGGAGTGGCCCGACGCACTGGGGAGGAGTGGCTGGTGACTGTGCAGGATACAGAGGCCCATGTGCCAGATGTCCACGAGGAGATGCTAGGGGTTGTGCCCATCACCACTCTGGGCCCTCGCAACTACTGTGTGATTCTCGACCCTGTCGGACCAGATGGCAAGAACCTGCTGGGGCAAAAGCGTGTAGTCAAGGTGAGCCCCTCCATGCCCCCTGGATGCCTACCTTGGGAGCAAGTGCCCTTCAGTGGCATGTGGCCCTGTCATTCTCTCCCGTCTCTCCTTCCATGCCGGGTACATGTTCTAGGAGCACCCTCTGTCCCTTTGTACTTGTAATACTCTATGCCTCCAACATTATCCTGCATGATTCCTGGGCAGCCTCTGACTTACCCTTCAGATGTCAAGTTCCATGCCCCTTTTGGGAAAGCCACCTGGCCTTCCCCCATGCTGCAAGACGCCGAAACACTCTCTTATGGTCATGCATCACGTAAGGATGGGGATCTGTTCTGAGAGATGATCATTAGGCAATTTTGTCATTGTGCAAAATTGTGTGTAGAGTGTACTTAACACAAACGTAGATGGTCTAGCCTTCTACTTACCTAGGCTAGTTGATATAGCGTGTTGCTTCTAGGCTACACACTGGTACAGCATGTTACTATACTGAGTAGACAATTGGAACACAATGGTATTTGTGTGTCAAAACATTAAAAAGTACAGTAAAAATACCATATTAGTAAGAGCTCCATTATAATTTTGCAGGACTACCATCATCAACTAAAATGTTATATGGTGTGTGATTGTACTTCACATTTTTTTTTAAATTTCAGATTAATATGAGGGTACAAACTATTAGGTTACAATGTTTGCATTTGTTAGGTAAAGTCCCTGTTGTAGTTTTGTCCCACATTCAGGAGGTGTGCCGTATACCCTTTCATTGTGCCTATTAGGTAGAAACACACCAATCCTTCTCCCTTATTCTCTCTCTCCCTCTTCCCTTTCCTCCCCCTTCCTTATTTCACATTTTTTGAGTGGAAACTGTCATCTTTTTTTTTTTTTAATTGAGACAAAGTCTTACTTTGTCACCCTCTGTAGAGCACTGTGGCATCTATAGCTCACAGCAACCTCAAACTCTTGGGCTCAAGTGATTCTTTTGCCTCAGCCTCCCTAGTAGCTGAGACTACAAGCACCTGCCACAACAGCAGGCTATTTTTTTTTTTTTGGTTTAGCAGGCCCTAGCTGGGTTCAGACCCACTAGCCCTGGAGCATGTGGCCAGTGCCCTAACCACTGAGCTACGGGTGCCCAGCCCAATTTTTTTTTTTTTTTTGAAGCAGTCTCTGTTGCCCTGGGTAGAGTGTTGTGGTATCATCATAGCTCACAGCAATCTCAAACTCTTAGGCTTAAGTGAGCCTCTACCTCAGCTCCCCAGTAGTTGGGACTATAGGCACCCGTTACAAAACCTGGCTAGTTTTTTCTTTTTTGTTTTTTGAGATAGAGTCTCACTCAGTTGCCCTGAGTGCCATGGCATCTTAGCTTATAGTAACCTCAAATTCTTGGGCTCAACCGATCCTATTTTTTTTTTTCCTTTTGTTTAACAGACCCAGGCTGGGTTCAAACCCACCAGCCCCAGTGCCTGTGGCTGGCACCCTAACCTCTGAGTTACAGGCATCCACACTCAAGCGATCCTGTTATCTCAGCCTTCTAAGAAGTTGGGACTATAGGTGCCTCCACAACACCTGGCTAGTTTTTCTATTTGCAGAGACAGGGTCTCACTTTGCTTAGGCTGGTCTCGAACTCCTGAGTTCAGGCAGTCTACCTGCCTCAGCCTTCCAAAATGCTAAGATTACAGGCGTAAGCTGCCCAGCCCAGCTCTGGCTTTTTTTTTTTTTTTTTTCTATTTTTAATAGAGAAAAAATAGAGACCTTGCTCAGGCTGGTCTCAAACTCCTGAGCTCAAGCAATCCACTGGCCTTGGCCTCTCAGAGTGTTGGGATTACAGGCGTGAGCCATCCTGCCTATCCCCTTTGTCATCTTTCATGAAACAAATCTCTTGGTTTGCTCTCCTCCCCACTCCCTTCCTAATCCTCTCTCTGAACTACATACATGAGAATACAGGGGTTGGCAAACTTTCTGTTAGAGGCCAAATAGTTGATATTTTAGGCTTTGTGAGTCATACAGTTTCAGTTGAAACTATTCATTGCTGCTGTTGTTTGGTGAGAGCAGCACAGACAATCTGTATACAAAAGAGAGAACTGCTGCATTCCTGGGAAGTTTTATTTGTAAAAACAGGAGGCAAGGCCAGGCCACAGTGACTCAGGCCTATAATCCTAGTACTCTGAGAGTCAGAGGTGGGAGGGGTCGCTTGAGCTCAGGGGTTAGAGACCAGCCTGAGCAAGAGTGAGACCCTGTCTCTACTAAAAATAGAAAACTAGCCAGGTGCTATGGTGGGTGCCTGTAAGTCCCAGCTACTCCAGAGGCTGAGACAAGAGAATGGCTTGAACCCAAGAGTTCGAGCTTGCTATGAGCTAGACTGATGTCATGGCACCCCTAGCCTGGGCAACAGAGTGAGACTGCTTCAAAAAACAACAACAGGCTTGGCGCCTGTGGCTCAAGTGGCTAAGGCGCCAGCCACATACACCTAAGGTGGTGGGTTCGAATCCAGCCCAGGCCCGCCAAACAACAATGACGGCTGCAACCAAAAAATAGCCGGGCGTTGTGGTGGGCGCCTGTGGTCCCAGCTACTTGGGAGGCGGAGGCAGGAGACTCGCTTGAGCCCAGGAGTTGGAGGTTGCTGTGAGCTGTGATGCCATGACACTCTGCCCAGGGGGACAGCTTGAGGCTCTGTCTCAAAAGAAAGAAAAAAACAACAACAACAAACAGGCTTGGTGCCTGTGTCTCAAGCAGCTAAGGCACCAGCCACATACACCTGAGCTGGCAGGTTCGAATCCAGCCCCAGCCTGCCAAACAACAATGATGTCTGCAACCAAAAAATAGCCAGGCATTGTGGCAGGCACCTGTAGTCCCAGCTACTCGGGAGGCGGAGGCAAGAGAATCACTTGAACCCAGGAGTTGGAGGTTGCTGTGAGCTGTGATGTCACCGCATTCTACCCAGGGTGACAGCTTGAGGCTCTGTCTCAAGAAAAACAAAACAAAACAAAACAATAAAAATCCAGGAGGCCAAAAATGTAGAAACAACCCAATTGTCCATCAACTGATAAGTGGGTAAAATGGAATATCACTTAGCTATAAAAAGAAATGAAGTACATATACATGCTCCGGCAGCAGTGAACCTTGAAAACGTTATGCTAAGTGACAGAAGCCAGACATTAAAGACCACATATCATATGATTCCATCTGTATGTAGTGTCTAGTATAGGTAAATTCCTAGAGAAAGAAATAGACTAGTGGTTGGTGGGGAGTGGTAGTAATTTCTACTAGATATAGAATTTCTTTTCAGGGTGATTAAAATATTTTAGGCTTATAAAGTAGGTTGAGGCTGGTGCCTGTGGCTCAAGGAGTAGGGCGCTGGCCTCATATACCAGAGGTGATGGGTTTAAACCTGGCCCGGCCAAAAACTGCAAAAAAACCCCCAAAACAAAGTAGTTATGGTTGGACAACTTAGAATATATTAAAGTAACTGACTTGTATATTTCAAATGGGCAAATTTTATATGTAGATTATGGCTCAATAAAAATACATATTAAAAAGTTGGCAGGGCAGATTTGGTTGTAAAATCAGAGTTTGCCAACCCCTGAATTGTACCATCCCGAGAAAACAAAGCATGGGAGAAATGAAGAATAATAGGTTTTGTTTAGCCACTTAGTTTGTGAGGATCCAGGTCCTGACATTTACAGAATTTTTCATGGAATTGTTTAATCAGAGGAGACTCTGTAGGCATTTCTGTAGAGCCTCAGAATGTCCAAATAATACTTCACACTACCATAATGTGAGAGTGGGGTATGCTTTTTCTTTCTTTTTTTGTTTGAGATGGTCTCACTCTGTCACTCAGGCTGGAGTGAAGTGGTGCAATCATAGCTCACAGCAACCTCAAATTCCTGGGCTCAAGTGTTCCTTCTGCCTCAGCCTCCTGAGTAGATAGGCTAGAGGGTGTGTATAGCTAATTTTTTAAAAAAAATTTTTATAGAGGAAAGGTGCAGTGGCTCACGCCTATAATCCTAGCACTCTGGGAGGCTGAGGCAGGTGGATTGCCTGAGCTCACAGGTTCCAGACCAGCCTGAGCCAGAGTCTCTAAAAATAGCCAGGCATTGTGGCAGACGCCTGTAGTCGCAGCTACTTGGGAGGCTGAGGCAAGAGGATTGCTTGAGCCCAAGAGTTTGGGGTTGCTGTGAGCTATGATGCCATGGTACTCTGCCCAGGGCAACAAAACAAGACTTTTTTTTAAAAAATAGAGACAGAGTGTGTTGCTTTGGCTATGTTGCTCAGGGTGATCTCAGATTCCTAGGTTCAAGTAATCCTCTCACCTTGGCATCCCAAAGTACTGGGATCACAGGCATGAGCCACCACACCCAGCTTGGGGTGTGATTTTGGGCTCCTGCCCTCTACATATGCCAAGATAGCATGGGGGCGGGGAGGTGGCTCAGAGACACATACAACCTCAGATGGCCACTACTCCTAATCCTATGTTTCTCTACTAGGGAGAGAAGTCTTTTTTCCTCCAGCCAGGGGAGAGGCTGGAACGAGGCATCCAAGATGTATATGTGCTGTCAGAGCAGCAGGGACTGCTGCTGAGGGCCCTGCAGGCCCTGGAGCAGGGGGAGGATGAAGAGAAAGTCTCACGCCAGGCTGGGGACCACTGGCTCATCCGTGGGCCCCTGGAGTATGTGCCGTCTGCCAAGGTGGAGGTGGTTGAAGAACGCCAGGCCATCCCTCTGGATGAGAATGAAGGCATCTATGTGCAGGATGTCAAGACTGGAAAGGTAATGGCCAAGGGATGGGCAGTGTCCCTGCTGTGTGGCCACAGTGGCAGCTTCTTCTAGGCAAACAGGGAGATGGTGATGGGGAGAGGTACATGGTAGAGGTTGGAGAGGGCACTTCAGCAGCACAGATGGCAGCATCTGGGTGGGCTGGCTGGTAGGTAGGGGGGCATTTTGTGGAGTATTTGCCATTGCTTTGTCTTAAATATTTAATTTCAAATTTTAGAAACTCCTGCTGAGAAGATGAGCCAAGTTTTAGGATAGTGACTGTGCCTCACTGCAGATCTGGCCCCTAGCATAGAGGTCTGATGAGAGGGCCCTAGGAACAAAAAGAACCTCCTCCCCTATGCCTATATCCTGGTGGAATCTTTCCTTTTGCTACTAAAACATATTAATAAAACATTGACCTTGGGGCAGCGCCTATGGCTCAGTAAGTAGGGCACCAGCCCCATATATCGAGGGTGGCAGGTTCAAACCCAGCCCCAGCCAAACTGAAACAAAAAATAAACGGGCACTCTGGCAGGTGCCTGTAGCTCCAGCTACTTACTTGGGAGGCTGAAGCAAGAGAATTGCCTAAGCCCAAGAGCTGGAGGTTGCTGTGAGAGCTGTGATAGCATGGCACTCTATTGAGGGCAACAAAGTGAGACTCTGTCTCTAAAAAAAATAAATAACTAAAAATAAAAAAAAATTGACCTTGGTTTGACCTAGGGCCACATCTCCAACTTCTTTTCTAAGAATCAAACCTTAGAAGCACAGTTTAGACCCCTAGCAGGGTGTTAGTGTATACTGTAACACATCTAGCAGGTGTTAGTGTATACTGCTTACTTCGTAGGATTGGGTCTATTCCCATGATACCATCCAAGCTATCCTATGAAGGAAGATTCTAGAAGTAATAATGGAGAATTTACTATTATCCCAAGTGCTGTTCTTTGAACTAGATATGTGAAATGTCATTTATTCCTCGAGCCCATGAGATAGCCACTGTCATGTCCATTTGATGGACGAGGAAACTGAAGCCCAAAGCGTGAGATAGCTTGCCCAAGATGACAGAGCTGGGAGATGCCAAACCCAAGACTGAACGAGCCTCATGGCAAAGACCACATTCAGTCTCAATGCTGTGCCTCTCTGGGAAGACCACTAGGTGGGTCTTCCTCCCTTCCACCCTCATTAACAAAGTCTGTCCTTGGCTCAAGGTACGTGCTGTGATCGGAAGTACCTACATGCTGACCCAGGATGAGGTCCTGTGGGAGAAAGAGCTGCCTCTTGGGGTGGAGGAGCTCCTGAACAAGGGGCAGGACCCACTGGCAGACAGGGGCGAGAAGAACACAGCCAAGACCTTTCAGCCCTTGGCTGCCCGGAACAAGACCCGTGTGGTCAATTACCGCGTTCCCCACAATGCCGCCGTGCAGGTGTATGACTACAGAGAGAAGAGAGCTCGGTGAGGGCCGGCCAGGGGTGTGGGGTGCGGTGGTAGAAGATCTTGAAGTGCTTGGCTCTGACCCCTGGCTCTCTCTGCAGCGTGGTCTTTGGGCCTGAGCTGGTGTCACTGGGTCCTGAGGAGCAGTTCACAGTGTTGTCTCTCTCAGCTGGGCGGCCCAAGCGCCCCCACGCCCGCCGAGCGCTTTGCTTGCTGTTGGGGCCTGACTTCTTCACAGATGTCATCACCATCGAGACAGCAGATCACGCCAGGCTGCAGCTGCAGCTCGCCTATAATTGGTAACAAAGGGTGGAGACAGCTGCTGAAGGATTTCTCCAGGAGGTTGGGGGGAGGGTGCAGCCTCCAGGACTGCTGGGCTCATTGAGAGCAGGATGCCTGACCCTGATGCCCCAGTCAAGAGGGAACACAGGAATTCACGCACATCCAGGGAAGGTACAGGATCACCTCCTGGCTACACCGGCTAACCCTCCAGCATGTATTCAGCCAGGTGCTTAACTGCAAGGTTATAAAAAGATCAATGAGGATTGCCTCACCCCCACCCCCACGGTAGTTCATGCCTATAATCCTAGCACTCTGGGAGGCCAAGGCAGAGGAACCCTTGAGCTCAAGAGTTTGAGACTAGCTTGAGCAAGAGTGAGATCCCATCTCTACTAAAAATAGAAAAATTAGCCAGGGCTCAGCACCTGTAGCACAATAGTTACTGTGCCACCAGCCACATAAACCAAGGGTGGTGGGTTTGAACCTGGCCCCGGGCCAGCTAAACAACTGCAACAAAAAAGTAGCCAGGTGGCGGGCGCCTGTAGTCCTAGCTACTTGGGAGGCTGAGGCAAGAGAATCTCTTGAGCCCAAAAGTTTGAGGTTGCTGTAAGCTGTGACGCCTGAGGGCAACATAGTGAGACTGTATCAAAAAATAAAAAAGAAAAATTAGCCAGGTGTGGTGGTGGGTGCCTGTAGTTCCAGCTATTTGGCAGGCTAATGTGGGAGGATCCTTTCAACCTAGGAGTCTGAGGTTGCAGTGAGCTATGGTAATGCCACTGTACTCTAGCGTTTGTCTCAAAAAAAAAAAAAAAAAAGAAAAAAATCAAGGAGACCCAGCTAGTGGGAGGGGATGGTGTGAGGGAGTGGCAAGTCTGCCAGGATCTGCATCCCATCCCCTCTATTTGCAAGCTGTGGACCTGAGCAAGGGACTAGGCACTTTCCTCAGTTTCCCTGTTTGTAAAATAAGGATGGCAGTATTACCTACTTGACAGAGCTGTTAAAAAGATGCAGTGAGAGAGTGGCACCTGTGTCTCAGTGAGTGGGGTGCCAGCCCCATGTAATGAGGGTGGCAGGTTCGAGTCCAGCCCCTGCCAAACTGCAACAAAAAATGGCCAGGCATTATGGCAGGCACCTGTGGTCCCAGCTGTTCGGGAGGCCGAGGCAGGAGAATCACCTAAGCCCAAGAGCTGGAGGTTGCTGTGAGCTGTGATGCCATAGCACTCTACTGAGGGCAACAAAGTGAAGGAAAAAAAAAAAGATGCAGCGAGAGTTAGAACAGTGCCCCCTATGTGGCTAGTGAGAAATGGCAGCTATTAGAATTGGCCAAGTAATCAGCTACCAACCACAGTCTCACACCTCTTGGCTGAGAGGAGCCAGTACCATGATGAAGGCAGATGGGGTGCTGACATAGTCCCAAGCACTACAGCACGATAGTTCAAAGCAGACCCTACAGCTCACTGCCTGGGTTGAGTTTTCTGGCTTGCCACAAATTATGAGATCTTGAGTAAGTTACTTAACCTCCCTAGACCTCTATTTCCACATCTGTAACCTGGGGATAATGTGCATCCCTGTCTCATAGAGTGACTGAGCAGATTAAATGGGAACAGGTGCTAAGTTTCTTGAGAATTTACCAAGCATAAATTAGCATTCTTTGTTGTAAGAGATCCTGCCCAGCCACAGGGGGTGGGCGTTGAAGTCCTCCTCCAAGAGAAAGTTGCTGTTTCCTGAGGGAAACATTTCTGGGCTTCTTTGCTCACAGGCACTTTGAGCTGAGTGACCGGAATGATCCCCAAGAGACGGCCAAGCTCTTCTCAGTGCCTGACTTCGTGGGTGATGCCTGCAAGGCCATTGCATCCCGGGTTCGGGGGGCTGTGGCCTCTGTCACCTTTGATGACTTCCATAAGAACTCAGCCCGCATCATTCGCACTGCTGTCTTTGGCTTTGAGAACTTGGAAGCCAAGGGCCCTGATGGCATGGCCTTGCCCAAGCCCCGGGACCGGGCCATCTTCCCTCAAAACGGGCTAGTGGTCAGCAGCGTGGATGTACAATCAGTGGAGCCTGTGGACCAGAGGACCCGGGATGCTCTGCAGCGCAGTGTCCAGCTGGCCATTGAGATCACCACCAACTCCCAGGAGGCAGCAGCCAAGTGAGTGAGGCCTGGGGGCCTGGCTGCTCACTGTGCCCCCTGAGGCCAGACCTCTCTGAAGTCCCCATCTCAGCCACAGCTAGGACCTAGATAACATGGCATCCCCTCCTGGTCTGCCTACTGTCCTCTTTGCCTCCAGGAATAAGATAAGATGACCCACTTAAGGTGTGAATCAGATGCCACCATGGCTTCTGTGGCTTCTTACCTTGTAACAAAACCCAAACTCCTTTCTGTGGCCTTCTGGGCACCTTTCCAGCCTTCCCCCAGCTGATGTATCCAGCCCCACAATTCCCTTCTGCACAGCTTATTCCCACCTGAAGGCCTTTTGCACTGGCTGTTCCCACTGCCCAGAAAGCTCTTCCCTCTGAACTCCTTCCAAGTCAAGCCCATCCTCTGGCTTAGGCCAAAGGCTTCCTCCTTAGAGAGCCTTTTCCTTTCTTCCAAAACTGAATAACATCTTTGCCCAGTTAGCCATTTTTACCACCTTTAAGCTGCTTGTTGCTGTCTGAAATTGAAGTCCTCCTCACACACTGATTTTCCCCACTGAAAGGCAAGTTGCATGAGAGCCAGGAGCACAGTTGTGCTGGCACTCCTGGGCCTAGAACCACCTCAGTCCTGGGGCACATGCACTGTTCTGGGTCGAGGTGCAGATTGAGTGCCTTCTGAGGGCCAGGGTCTATCCTAGGTATCTGATAGATTTGGGGTCCCTGCCCTTGGTGCTCCTGTTCCCTTTAGCCCCATGCCAGCATCTTCCCCATTTTTCTCCAGGCACGAGGCTCAGAGGCTAGAGCAAGAAGCCCGTGGCCGGCTTGAGAGGCAGAAGATCCTAGACCAATCAGAAGCTGAGAAGGCTCGCAGGGAACTCTTGGAGTTGGAGGCTCTGAGGTAGGGTGAGAACTAGAGGCGGAAAAGGCTGGCAAGGGCTGAGGGTCTTGGGGAAGCAGCTGATGCACCAGTGGGGTGAGTGAGAGAGAGTGCACCCACATAAGAGCTGCTGCTACATGAAGGCTGGGCCAGTGTGGTGGTTTATGCCTATAACCCCAGCACTCTACAACCCAGGCTGAGGCAGTCAAATCGCCTGAGCTCACAAGTTAGAGACCAACCTGAGCTAGAGTGAGACCCCATATCAAAAAAATAGCCAGGTATTGTGGTGGGTGTTTATAGTTCCAGCTATTTGCCATTGTCTATAGTCCCAGCTACTTGGGAGGCTGAGGCAGAGAATTGCTAGGGCATGGTGGCTCATGCCTATAATCCTAGCATTCTGGGAGGCTGAGGCAGGTGGATTGCTTGAGCTCATGAGTTCGAGACCAGCCAGAGCTAAAGTAAGACCCTATCTCTACTAAAAAATAGAAAAACTGAGGCAAGAAGATCACTTGGGCCTGTGTTGGAGGTTGCTGTGAGCTATGACGCTCTACCCAGGGCAATAGCTTAGGACTCTGTATCAAAAAAAAAGAAAGGTGGCTCCTGCGGCCCCATATACCCAGGGTAGAGGGTTCCTACCCAGCCCTGGCCAAACCACAACAAAAAAATGGCTGGGCATTGTGGTGGGCGCCTGTAGTCCCAGCTACTCGGGAGGCTGAGGCAAGAGAATCACCTAAGCCCAAGAGCTGGAGGTTGCTGTGAG